AAGATAATCAAACTTTTCCGAATTTGAAGATTTCCAGGATTTGGAATCCAAGATTGTGAAGAAGTTTTTAGAATTTTCACAGTGGTTGCAGTTCTCAATGTTTCGGGCTTCCTGTAGTTCTTTCGGTCGTGAAAAATTTCGAACACACTACACTGTGACGGAAGGCCTATTGCCATAGAGGTAACTCTAAGACCAGAAGGTCCCGAAGAAACGTGCTCAACTTTTTGGCTCAGCTCTGGTACTATCTTCAGTTCCAAGCTAATCCATGCACCCCTCGAAACATAGTAAAATCTACGAACCCCTCATTTTATCTGTCAAAATTTCATAGCGAATCAAAACAAACATAGTGCAGTACTAGAATTTTGACTAGAATGGGGTACGCTTATAGATGTACTTGAGACCAATAGGCTAGTCAAGTAGTGAGCCAATATAAAATCGTTAGTTTCCACCGGTTGATTGGAATGTTTGGCCTCCTGGTTCTTGAGGCTTTAGTTCGTGCTGCCATTCGTATGCTGGAGAAGGAGCACAGAAATGTCAACCTTCCTGTTGTACAACGAGCAAGTGACCGTCCTTTGATGATTGATCCACGACTCCCGAACATTGCTGAGAGGACGCTTTTCACCAACCGAAGGTGGCATGAACCCAAGCCAAGTATTGTATGGGACGTGAGACGGCAAGTGAAATCTGGAGATCCCCCGGATACAGTGTGTCCCATTCTGCAGGAATTACTTTCAAACAGTTTATTGAAAAACGCGACAGACGTCATCAGATTTTTTCACGATCCAAAATGGCCGAATTTAGCTGAAATGTGAATCATTGACCATAATTTAAAAAAAATATGCAAATTGCCTGGAATTGCTCTGGTGTCTTACAGTTCATGTGGTTGTGGAGGTTTGGTAAGTTTCAAGAGTATCGGAAGTTATTTAAATTCCCCATCAAGAAGTTTCTGGAGTTCTGAAAGTTAGTGAGGAACATTTGTTCCTGAAGTAACATAGTTCTTCAAGTCGTGGATGTTTTAAAAGTTTCTAGTATTCAACTATTTTCAAGTTCCCAGGAGTTTTAGAAATGTTAGAGATTCAGAAATACTGTCCAAACCATCGACATTTCCTGAAGTTCCCGGAGTGCATTCTTACAGTTCCAAAAACTATTGGAGTTCTACCAACAATCAATACGAAACTAACGATTTTAAATTGGCTCACCACTTTAGTAGCCTATTGGTCCCAAGCAAACGATTAACGTACCCTATTCTAGTTGAAATTCTATTACTACACTATGTTTGTTTTGATTCGCTATGAAAGTTTGACAGATAACATCAGGGGTGTGTGGATTCATGCAGAACATGCAGGGGTGAGTGAAATAGCTTGGGACTGCTTGGGACCGTTGTTCTGGTACTGAGTGAGCCAAAAATAATAATGATTTTCTTCGGGACCCAGTGGTCTTAGAGTTACCTCTATGGTTCTACCAGCTCTCAACGTATAAAAATCATGGAGCAACTATAATTTGAAGAGCTTCTAAAAATTACTGAAGCATCGAATGTTCCCGCAGTTTCAGGCCTATCGTGACTTCCAAAGACAACTAGAATTCTCAGGACTGATAGGACTAAATACTGAGATTCCTGGGAGACTCCAAGATATAATGAGAGAGAGAAGGATTAGTAATTTCCATTTAATTCCACTACCTTATTTGCTTATCCTTGACAGATACGCGTATTTCGTCTACAATGTGCAGACTTCTTCAGTGTCTTGTACTAATACTCGACGAGTACAAGACACTGAAGAAGTCTGCACATTGTAGACGAAATACGCGTATCTGTCAAGGATAAGCAAATAAGGTAGTGGAATTAAATGGAAACTACTAATCCTTCTCTCTCTCATTAAACAGGTATTCCACTAAGACGCCCACATTCATCAGGACTCCAAGATGTTTTGAAACTTTCATAACTCTCGAAACAGCGATAATACAGCTGGTACCATCTGAATTCTAGTGGGAAATATGTACTTTGTGAGGTTTTAGAATTCCGGAGATCGTTAACAACTCTAGAAACTCCAGCAAATGCAGAAATTCGAGTACTTACAGAGCTCCTGGAATTTCGGAAACTTTAGTGCTCTAAGAAAGAGCTATCAAAAGAACAGCAACTTCTGGAACTTCCGGTAAGCTTCAAAACTATTGGAACTTCTAGGACTTAAAACAGCGAAAAGATAGCCAAACTCAGTTAATAACTCCTGAAACTTCAGCAACTGCAGACATTTCGAGTACTTACAGCGCTCCGGGAACAACGTGAGATCCAAAATTACTCAAAACTATAGCACTGATAATCCACTGATCGACTCCGGGAAATTTCGGAATTCTGAACATTGCATTAGCTCCTAAGTAACATTGATCGATTCTCTTCTTCGACTCTTTCGCTAATAACTTGATCACATACCCGTTTTTTGATGTATTTGACATATTAGATGCTAGATAAAAGCTTATTTTATCGATCTTTGTGCTGAAAATACCTGTGAATGTCTTTACATGGCCGTGGGGATGCTAAAAGAAAGTCGATGAAGAGAATTTGTATATGTTACTTAGGACCTAATGCAATGTTCAGCTTGATTTGAATATTCAGAAACCATCGACACATTAGAAAATGGATGTGAGATTGTCAAAAACATTCGAAACTGCAGTACTCCAGAAGCTTCAGGAGTTTCCGTTAATTTGTTTAATGCTTCAGAACTTCAGTGACTAAGAGTGTTTTGTAGTTCTCGGAGTACCCGAAGGATTGGCAATCTAGTATGTTCTGAATGTTCCCGAGCCTTGTAGAAGTTGAAGTTCCGGAACAGCTCTGGAAGTTTCCGACGGATCAAGAATGCAGTTCTACAGTTCATGTTTGTCATGGAAATTTAGCAACTTCCCAAACGCCCGCATGCTCTTTAAGTTCCCGCGAATTCTAAAGGCTGCAAAGGGTTTCAGAAACTCCTGGCCAGGGCTCTACATTTTCGAAGCTCTAAAATGAACTCGTGTTTTCTTTCTCTCATACATACGTGTTCGACGCTTCATTTCTATAACGCCTAGCTAGACTATTAGCAAGAAACGAAAATAAAAAAGCAGGACGCTTAGAAGGAAAGGTTGGCTGTGGAACTTCTCGTCGTTGCTTTGCTCATCGCTTTCAATGTAACTAACGTCGATTTTCTAGTAGAAACAAAACCTCATAATGGCTTTCAATCCCCTTTCACGAACACTCTATAGCAAACCCCACACGCATCAATATATTGACGCGAAGGGGAATTATTGACAATAATATTGATGATGTGAATTCAGAAATATTGTCAATATCGATGTATTGACGTCAATATAGAATGTATTGACAATACGATTATTGTCAATAAAAGCAATCGTGTAGGGTTCACTTATCACCGCTCTTTCAATTTGTTTAAAATGCGTTATGTCCCGTTTTCGATCATTTTTTTTTATATAAATATTCATTTTCCGTCATATACCTACGTCATGAAACGTCAGTTGATGTGTTTCATGAAAGAGAAAACAACTATCAAAATCGAGCGCTCTTTCGCTCATCCGTTTCACCGAAGCTTGAAAGGAAGACCAATGGAGCGATGGGAGAAAGAGAGACAAGCGATTGAACATTTGTTTGTGCACGCCGACTGAGGTTCTAGAATGCTGCGAAGCTGTTCGACTTAAGCCTAGTATACAGATCGAAGCGAAACGAAAATTGAAGCACGCGAAAAATCATAAAATTTCGCTGCGAAAAAGGTTGCGAAAAAATTTTTGTGGAACATTTTCCAGTTTCCTTTTTTCGCAGTGTGAAACGAAATCGGTCAGTTTACACCTCCGGTGAAGTGAAAATCTGACAGATACGCTCTTTCTCGAAACGTCAACTTTTCGCTTACCTGCTGCTCTTTTCGCTAGCGCTGCATGCGCGAAAAAAAATGAACGTAAGCGAAAAAGATACGATCCACAAAATAAGATTTCGCTGGATCGTATCTGTTTACAGTTCAAAGCGAAGCGAAATATTTGCCAATTGCGTTTTTCACGCAGGTGAAAAATGTAGTATTTTGTATGAGATTTTCGCTTCGCTTCGATCTCTATACAGGCCTTTAACAGAAAAAGAAAGCCAGCAGTCTCTTCGTCGCATCGATTTGGTCGATTGAAGCTGATATTGTGACGCCCTGCTCCTGGCGTTCAAGAATATCCGGAATTTCTATGGTTATATGACGCAAGAACGTGTTAATAATTTCCAGAGTCTCTGAAGTTGCCCAGAAATGTAATCCTTCCCGAAGCACTGAAGTTTTCTAACGTTCCCGGAATTCCGATGGTGTCTGTAGCTGTGTAGCTACGACAATTATTGAAGTTTTAACAGTCCTCAGAGGGCTGGTTGTTACCGAATAACGAGAATTTTAAAAATTCCGAAAATCACAATGTTTTCGCCGTTCCAGAAGTATTGTGACTTCAAAAGTCACCTACACCTCTCAGAACTGATAGGAAAAAAAATACCGAGATTCCTGGAAGACTCCGAGAGGTTTTTTTGAAATTTTCATAACTCTCGAAACAGCGATAATACAGCCAGTACCATCTGAAATTTAACAAATAGGGGAAATGCAGGGTAATGTCGGCCTAAGTGTCCCTAATTTGGGCCCATACATAAATTCAGCAATCGACTAAATTTTCAATAGCATCCAAAAATATCCATTAGTAACGTCCCAATAACGCGTTCATCTGGATAAAATTGATAAATAGCAGATTTTTAGCGACCAACCTTATATCCATAGGCCAACATTAGAGACATTTCCCCTAGATGGGAAATATGTTAGTACTTCATGAGATGCAAGAGCTCCTTCAGTTTCGGATGTTTCTAAAACCGCTGGTATTCCGAGAATTCAGGAAATCAGTTTCTGGACTTGACATTTTCACAGCTCCAGGAGATTGAGATTTCGTTCAGTCAACTGTGCACGAGTAATAACGAATAGATCTTTAATGAAAAATCTTCCTTCTCTCCCCGCCAGGATCCCCTATGCGAGGTCATCTCGATGGAAACGATCCAGACTTTCAACGGGCACAAACCGAACCGCACGGTGGTCTTCAAGGAGAAGTTCGACCTTAGTGGTAACGACATGACCAAATCGCTCTCGACCAGCAAGCTGATGGGATCGCCCCAGTTATCGATCAGCCCGTTACGAACGGTTTTGACCACGACGACCGAGCTGGAACAGCATACTGCGACGAAGAGCGATCGGAACAACAACTGCACTACCATGGTAACGAGTCAGTCCTCGGTTATCAAGGAACAGCAGACACGCCACAAATCGTTGGATAGGAGTAACTACAACAACAACAACAACAACAATAACAGCAACGTGTTCGTTTCGTCGACTCCAAAGCCAACTAGATGTTCCAAGAGTCCTTCGATTGGCAATCTTCGGCACAAATCTCCGTCCCTATCGGCGTCGCAGAATTCACTCCGCAGGTCGATGTTCAACGACTTTGAGCAGGAATGCCTGAAGGCACACAATGAGTACCGAACCAAGCACGGAGTCTTACCGTTCAAGCTGAACAAGCGGCTCTGCAGGTATGCGGAGGAGTGGGCCAAAGTGATTGCAGCGAGGGGAGTTTTGGTTCATCGCAGCAATTCTCAGTACGGGGAGAACATTTTCTGTTCGTGGAGTTCGCCAAACGCAACTGTAGTGATAACCGGACGGGAGCCGGTGGAGAATTGGTACAGTGAGGAATCGGTTCATGCGTACGGGAAGGAACCGGCCACTCTCAAGACTGGCCATTTTACGCAGGTCGTATGGAAGGACAGTCGGGAGTTGGGCATTGGAGTTGCGCGGAATAGGTGAGATTAAGGGTGTATGTTATAGAATTTCTAGTAACGGGATTTTGCATTCTAGATCCGGTCAGGTGTTTGTCGTGGCAAACTACGATCCTCCTGGCAATTACATAGGCAGTTTTGCAAAGAACGTTCCCCCACCGGGGGGATTCGAGATACCAAAGATAATTGTGGACAAGCTGGCTAGTGAGAATAGCAAAAGTGCTACCCCGAAGGTTGAAAAACACGTTCGCATAGTGGACGAAAACGACCCGGATCAGTTTGATGAGTTTTCGCAGGCGATGCTACGTCACCACAATGAACACCGTCGTCGCCACGGTGCTCCCGATCTAGTGTAAGCATACATTTGATTTCAAATCGTTGAACTTAATTTCAAGGTCTCCATATTTTAGTCTACACAAGGAACTAGTCCGGGATGCCCAACAGTGGGCCGAGATCCTTGGACGGGATGACCGGTTTACCTACCGGCAGAACTCTAAATATGGTGAAAATTTGTACTGTCTGTGGTCCTCCGATAGGCACGCCAAGCCCAATGCCAAAGACGTCTGCCGGTCCTGGTACGAGGAAGTGAAGCAGTACGCCTTCAATCAGGAACCCCGTGGAGTGATCAAGGGTGGTCAGTTCACCCAGATGGTCTGGAAGGGTACCAAAGAGCTCGGGGTAGGCATCGGTCAAACACGGAGCGGCAAGGTAATTGTGGTGTGCACGTACTATCCGAGGGGTAATGTGCTCGGTCAGTTTAAGGCAAACGTACAAAAGAGAAGCGTTTAGAATTTTAATATTCTTTCAAGTCCAAAATTTTAAAGCACATACACACACACTCACGTAACTGTCAGGTAACGACTTAAGCCTTAAGAAATGGGAAACATCAAATTTGAATCCTTCCTAAAAACTACATTGTACATAACCTACGCAAAGCCTACTACATACCTACTTAATCAACACTCGAACAAACAAAAATAATCCAAGTAACCTGAGAAAAAGATGCCTTCGATCACAGAAGATGCTCCTCGAAAGATTTGTGTTTGTTGTTTGTACATAGATGTTTACATCTCGAATATTGTATCCAAGTCGGCACATGCGCAATGGCCAACCGACGGTCCAGATGGGGGGCGAAAAGCATATTTTTACTACTAAAGGGCTTTTTATACCGTTTCGATAGAACAGAACTTTGCAAGTTTGCTATAAAAGGGTTAAAAGTTGCATAGGCAGCAAAGCACATTTTCGTCGGCTTAAGATTTCAGCATAAATACTGACAATTCGATCACAATCAGATAATCGCTTTGCACGTATTAGGGTTGCAGCATTAAAGTAAGGTATTCGATCGATTTGATCTAGTTGAACATTATACTTAACCACACACACACACACACACGCGTATATTTGAAAGCGTTGATTCAAAAATTTTGACTACGGTTACCGGCTTAGATTCATATAGTAATTATAACAGATCGATATACGATAAACATTCGATTCGCCATACAATTTGTGTCATCACGAGTCCATGCAAGATTAAAATTAATTAAAACGTACCTATGATTCAATTGCGTTGTGGTTATTTAGTTTTCAACGGCGTAGACTTTATCACATTCCTGAAACAGACATTATATCTTCATCGGCTTTAACAATCTCCGTGATGAAGAAGTTATACAGTGCGTGTCAGGACCAGCGTTCGGAACATCATTATCAAATCTCATCCATTGAGCCTCCCTGAGCAAATTGGGAGATTTCAGTACAAGCTTAGCGCAGATGTCGACTCTGCAGGATGATGATAATGTTGACAGGCTGGAAATCCCCTGAAGAAGGCCAAGTCCTAAGACCGAACCATCTTTCATAAAACATCGTAGTGTTTTGATCCACCGTTAAACTCCAATATCCGAACAATTAAGTAATAATTTCATGTTCAGCATTTGATTTTGAATGTTTTGCGGATAAGATTCAGGATTCAGGATGCATATTTATATAGAGTTACAACGTGACAAATCTACAAGAATCTTACGTTACACCCTATCAAAAATTGTCAAAGGAAAGTTTCAACGAGTTGTATATGATTCCTCAGGTTGCAGTGTTATTAGTGTATTCCCGTTGCCACTTGCTCGGATTTCCACCGAGACACACGGCTCGATTACATATTACGATCACGTGTACCGCAGTCAGGTTGAACCCAACCGTTGAACGAGTAATTGTTGTTTATTTAAATTGTTTGTTGCCGGCATCTTATGGCATCGATCGAATGCAATCGATCAGTGTAACACGTTGATCTCTCGTCAACGTGATTATAATAATGATCATTTTACGACGATCGATGATGGAGGGATGGTTTGAAGAATCTCTGGAGAGCAATCATTCAAATCTCACATCATTAGCTACTAAAGATTAAACCTAACCTTGCGTGTAAACCTAATTAAGAAGCCACACGCGTGTAAAGTAAATATTTGTCGCATATGGTCATAGCATTGAGGCGATGAAGATATCTAAGAAGATTCTCTTGCAAGTATCAGCCGTGTATTGTTGATAACCAACCCGAGCCATGTAGCTATTTTTACACGTCTGACTGTGACTAATAACGACGTCCAACTGTTTGGTCTAAGTAAATACCACTGCCGAAAACTACTATCAAGAAATCAAATATTTGTATTTGCTTCGCCGTGTTGACATGTTGTTCTCCATGTCGCGACATCACACGTTCAGAGCAAGCACTTGAGTAAATCAACCGACGAGCTATATCGTAACCTAGCGGAGAGCAGCGTGAAAACCTTGTTCACTCATGGTTTCATGAATTTTAATCGATCTCGATTCGACTGCAGTACAAATTGTCACGAGACAAAATAGATCCAAATCATCGATTCGACCATGTATCATGTTGAGCAATAAAGACGCGAGCGATATTTGCTCTTGTCCCTTCCATAATTGATCTCGCATATCTCTCCGATCCGATAATAATTAATTCATCAATTCTAGATTGAGCTGGAATTAGTGCGTTACAGCTATGGGATACAATGACTTGTCTCGATGATTTCTAGAAAGTGAAGAATTCGCCTACCAGATGGTTATGTTGGTTTGCGTGGGCGTGCCTTGAAACCCTAGAAATCATCGAAAGAAGTCATTATTTTCACAGGGCTCGTAACAGGTCACTTTTTAGAGGCTAAGTAGATAACTTTTTTTCAAGTCAGTCACTAAAAAGTCACTATTTAATATGCGTATGCGGGGCTTGTGGTTTGACGAGGAGTGTCAGCGAGTGACATAGGAGAAGAACGTCGCCAGAAGCCGGATGTTGGTGTCTGGTACCCGTCAGAACAGAGAGCGGTACATAGTAGCAAGGTCAGCCGAGAAACGAACCCATCGCAGGAAAAAAAAGGCAGTACGAGGAACGCGTTATTGCTGAGGCGCAAGAAAGTATGGAGCAGAATGATATGCGAAGGTTTTACGCCACTGTCAATGGCGTGAGGAGTAAGAGAGCACCGTCTCCCGCCATGTGCTATGACCGTGAAGGTAATCTGCTGACAGATAAAACGATGGTGGCTGCCAGGAGGAAGGAGTACTTCGAGACGTTGCTGAACGGAGAGAACGAGAGAGCATCTACAAACAGAACACACATCGACGACGATGGTCAAGCTGTGGAACCACCAACGCTAGAAGAGGTGAAAAAGGCGATACGAGAGCTGAAAAACAGTAAGGCTGCGGGGAAGGACGAGCTCCCGGCCGAACTTCTCAAACACGGAAGTGAGCAGCTGCACCAGATGATCCACCGTATACTGCTCAAGATATGGGAGGAGGAAGAATTGCCCGCTAGTTGGTTGGATGGTCTCGTTTGTCCTCTCTACAAAAAGGGACACAAACTGGAGTGCACCAATTACAGAGGAATCACGCTTCTGAATTCGGCGTACAAAATATTATCACGTGTTCTGTTCAACAGATTGAGACCGCTTGAGGAATCCTTCGTCGGCGAATACCAGGCTGGTTTTCGTGAGGGTCGATCAACGACGGATCAAATGTTTACCCTGCGTCAAACCCTTGAGAAGTTCCTGGAATACAACTTTGCAGACTCATCATCTGTTCATAGATTTCAAGGCAGCGTACGATTCAGTAAAGAGAAACGAGCTATGGCAGATAATGCAAGAAAACGGTTTTCCGACGAAACTAATTAGGCTGATTCGTGCCACGCTGGATGGTTCGAAATCATGTGTACGGGTTGCAGACGAGATTTCGGCCTCGTTCGTGACCTTAGATGGGTTGAAGCAGGGAGATTCTCTTTCGAACTTGAATAGCATCTCTCCCGTTGATGCTTCACTACGGACTTGTCATCAAAATTAAGTCCACACTCTCCCGTGTCTAGATTAGGAAAGATTCGTTTATTTTCTCTTCAGCTTACATTTATATTTCCTACGACTAGAGTTACCTAGATTCATGCTACCTCGCACAGACAGTTTATTGACAATATTTGGAATAACCCGACTGAGACAACATAAACATAGCTCGGGTGACGCCCTTGCAAAGGTTGCAATTCGGCATAACCATGAGACATGCTTAACGGTCTCGCTATGTGTAATAAACAATAATAATTCAGCGTCTGCAGGTAAAGGTCGCAAGCGCATCAAATTCAAAAATAACCAACGTTACTGTTTTATGACCGTGATAATGAGCGTACACATCTTGTAAGCAGATTGTGCGAAATTGCTAATTCAGGAGGCGGGGGTAATCACGCCTAATAATTGATTTGGAAAAATCCTATGACTGATGCGTAGCAGGAATGCTACACTTGCTATTCAACATCGCCCTCGAAGGAGCGATTAGGAGAGCTGGCGTGCAGAGGAACGGTATCATCATCACAAAGTCGCACATGCTCCTTGGTTTTGCGGACGACATCGACATCATCGGAATCGACCGTAGAGAAGTGGAAGAGGCGTTCGCGCCTTTTAAGAGGGAGACAGCGAGGATTGGTCTCACGATAAATTTTACCAAAACGAAGTACATGGTCGCCGGTAGAAAGCGTGGGAGCAATAGTGGTTTTGGTAGTGAAGTGGTGCTAGATGGCGAAAAATTTGAAGTTGTGGACGAATTTGTTTATCTTGGTACTTTAGTGACGTGCGATAATGATGTTACCCGCGAGGTGAAAAGGCGTATTGCAGCCGCGAACAGGGCTTTCTACGGATTGCGTAGCCAGCTGAAGTCCCGCAGCTTGCGTACGAAAACGAAATTCGCGCTGTACAAGACGTTGATTCTGCCGGTAGCCCTTTATGGCCACGAATCGTGGGCATTGAAAGAGGCCAATCGGAGAGCCTTCGGTGTCTCATCTGGCGGCGTCGCATGAATCACGAGTTGTACCAAGAATATAACGGCATGGATATTGTGAAGCTTATAAAACACGGCAGGCTACAGTTGGTTGGGAATGTGGCACGAATGCCGGAAGAGCGTCAAGCGAAATCAATATTCAGCAGGGAACCCGGAAGAGGACGTCGGCTTCGGGGTAGGCCACGCATGCGTTGGCTTTGTGCAGTTGATGAGGACATTAGGTCCTTGAACGTGCAAGGCGACTGGAAGCGATTGGCTCAGGTCCGAGACCAATGGAGACGGTTACTTCGTTCGGCGCAGATTTGTATTCAACGAGTTGTCGCCCATCAGGTACTCAGGTAGGTATGCGGGGCTTGTTGCAACTGAAAGTGGACGTGAGTGACCAAACATTCTGAAATAGGTCATTGAACAGAGCTATCACCTTTCAACTTCCGGGCTAAAAAATTTTACGATGGGATCAGTATAAGGTAGTAATCTATTATATTGCAGACATTTTTCTTCCATAACAATACTGCCGGATAGTGGGAGTTGGAGTGTGCATACATACATACATACATACATGCATACATTCATACATACATACATCCTAAGGACGACGGCGAGACGCCAGACAGTGAAAACGGAGGAGCGAACGTGTTCGCAAGGAGCGGGATATTGCAGAGATCACCAGTGTTGAACCTGGAGGCCACAGCGAGTTCCAGCAGCAGCAGTAAGCCCCAAGGTGAGCAGCAAAGACACCAAGGAGAGCTAGGTCTTGTGCTAAGCCAGATGTTCACACCGAAATCCAGCAGTAGCACACCCCAAGAAGGATTGCAGCTTGGGAAGACCAAATTGATGGCGGCCAGGAGGAGGATCAATGAACTCCATGACTTCGTCAAGGATAAGAGCAACGTCCACAAGGCAATCAAGGAAATGGTGACGGGCATCAAATCCGCCATGATTGCTGCCGAGCGTGAACAGGATGCGCTGAGGACGAGATCTGTGACTGCCGAAAGGGCACTGATCGAGGCCAAGGAGAAAGCAGCACAGGAGACGCCGAAGGGACCTCGAAATACACGCTCGGAGAAGAGGAAAAGGGAAACGCCAGGAGAGGAAGAGGACAAGGACGACAACAAGAAGGAAGGATGGCATACCGTCGAGAAGCCGAAGGAGAAGTGGAAAAAACGGAAGGAAAGAGAAGTGAAAAAGAAAGCAGAACAGAAGAAGGATATACCCAGGACTCGTCGGGATGCTCTGATCGTCGAAGCAAAATTCAAAACGTCGTATGCAGCACTCCTCCGGAAGTTTTGAGAGGATCCGGAGTTGAAGCAATTAGGAGAGAACGTGGTGAAACCCAGGCGCACCCAGAAAGGCAAGATGCTTTTTGAGCTGAAGAAGGATCCTACGATCAAGAGCTCAGCCTTCAACGAAAAATCTCTTGGCGAAGGGGCGAGCGTAAGAGCTTTATCCCAGGAGACAGTGGTCGAGTGCAGGGATCTGCACGAAATCACTACAGAAGAGGAGCTGAGAAGTGCGTTGAGAGTGCATTGCCCTCTGGGAGACGTCCCGATGTCAATCCGGATGAGGAAGATGTACGGTGGCATGCGAACGGCGGCATGCAAACGGCCGGAAACGATCATACGACGGTAGGCTTCAAATGCCTAGCATACAAAAAGGCGATGGCAGGCCAACAGTAATGAAGGTAACCCAAAAAAACCTCAATCATTACGACATTGCACAGCAACTGTTGTGGCAGTCGACAACAGAAACAAAGTGCGACGTTGCAGTTATTGCGGAACCGTATTGAGTCCCTCCCGATAACGGTAATTGGGTGGCGGATAGAGCTGGGATGGCTGGTATATAGCAATAGTATATACAAGTTATGGGCAGCAATGGAATCTTCATATGTAGTTGTTGCGCACCCCCCAGATGGACGATGAAGAAGTTCCATGAGATGCTGGATGGATTTACCGAAGAGCTGATCGGACGACGACCGGTAGTCATCGGAGGAGACTTCAATGCTTGGGCAGTGGAGTGGGGAAGCAGATGTTCCAATGCAAGAGGGCACAGTCTGCTGGAAGCTCTGGCAGAGTTGAACGTCAGTCTGGCCAACTTAGGAACCATCAGCACCTTCTGCAAATATGGTAGGGAATCCATTATCGACGTCACTTTCTGCAGTGCGTCGCTAATGGCAAATATGAACTGGAGAGTGTGTGAAGAGTACACCCATAGCAGCCATCAGGCGATCCGGTACAGTATCGGCGCACGGACGCCGTTGGAAATGCGGAGGACGAAATTAAGCTAGCGGTAGTGGAAGACGAAAGTATTCAATGAGAATCTCTTCATCGAAGCTCTAAGGGCCCATACATTAATTATGTCACGCTAAATCGAGCAAAAAATTACCCCCTCCCCCCCTATCGTGACGTTTTTCCTATACCTAATGCATTGCTTGTCACAAAATCTTAGACCCCCCCTCCCCCTTAGAGCGTGACATAATATATGCATCAACCCTAAGGGTAGACAGCAGCGTCCCTAAGCAGGGCCTAAGCGCGAACGAGTTGACCGAATCATTAGCAAGGGCATGTGACACAACTATGCCGAGAAAACTGGAGCCAACGAACAGGCGGCGTCCAGCTTACTGGTGGAACGAGGAAATTAGCACCCTCCGTGCTAGTTGTCTTCTAGCCAGAAGGTGCGTTCAGAGAGCAAGAACTGAAGCAGACAGAAAGGAGCGCAGGGTGGTGTTCCGAACTGCCACGGCTGCACTAAAAAGAAAGATAAACGACACTGATGCCAACCCCTGGGGCGACGCATACCGAGTCGTGATGGCGAAGATCGGAAGTCCAACGATGTCCGCTGAATTGTGCCCAGAAAAGCTGAAAGTCATCGTGGAAGGACTTTTCCCGAAGCACGACCCAACGACCTGGCCACCTCACCGTACGGAGAAGGAAAAGGAGATAACATCGAAGTCACCAAAGAGGAACTCGTAGCAGTGGCGAAAGGATTGAAGGTGAAGAAAGCTCCCGGTCCGGATGGGAACCCCAACGTAGCGTTGAAAGCGGCAACCCAGGCATCCCCGGACATGTTAAGGATGGTGCTGCAGAAATGCCTGGACGAGGGTCACGTCCCTGACAGATGAAAGAGACAGAAGCTAGTGTTGCTGCCGAAACCAGAAAAACCGCCGGGGGAACCTGCATAGTATAGGCCTATATTCCTGCTGGAGTGCTGGATACACTCGGAAAGCTCTTGGAGAGGATCATCCTTAACAGGCTGACGAAATGCACGGAGAGTGAGCACGGATTGTCGGAGAGGCAGTTCGGATTCCGGAAAGGGAGATCGACGGTGGATGCAATTCGGACAGTGATCGAGAGAGCCAAGAAGGCGTCCAAACAGAAGCGGAAAGGAGATCGTAATTGCGCCGTGATAACAGCGCCAGCTGGGAGGCCATCGCCGAAGCGCTGCATTGAATGAGGGTCCCTGATTACATAGGCAGGATCATCAGGAGTTATTTCCAGAGCCAGGTTCTGGTCTACGAGACAGATATGAGACAGAGATCGATTAGGATCACAGCAGGAGTTCCACTAGGCTCCATCCTTGATCCAACGCTCGGAACGGGATGTACAACGGCGTGCTAACGCTGAAGCTGCCCAAAGGAGTTGAGATCGTTGGCATTGTGAACGACGTCGTCTTGACGGTAACAGGCGAGACGCTGGATGAGGTGGAAATGTTGTCAACAGAGGCGATCGACATGCTTGGTAACTGGATGCAAGGAGCGAAGCTGCAGATAGCCCACCACAAGACGGAAGTGTAACTGTAAGGCGGTACAGCGGGCAGAAATCACCGTTGCCTCGAAGCGTGTGTTAAAATACCTGGGAGTGATGATCGATGACCAGCTAAACGTCAACAGCCACATCGAACATGCTTGTGAGAAGGCTTCGAAGGCCATCAACGCGATAGCTAGGATCATGCCTAACAACGCTGGTCCCAGCAGTAGCAAGAGGCGTCTTCTGGCCAGTGTGTCGTCGTTACTGAGGTATGGAGGTCCAGCATGGGCTGCAGCGCTGGAAACGAACCAGATCCAAAGGAAACACAGCAGTACGTTCCGGCTCATGGCCATGCGAGTCGTGAGTGCGTACAGAACCATCTCGTCGGAAGCAGTATGTGTTATCGCCGGAATGATCCCTATCGGCATCACCCTGGAAGAGGACAGCGAGTGCTACAGGTGGAGAGAAGTATTAGTACAGGACACTGAAGAAGTCTGCACATTGTAGACGAAATACGTGTATCTGTCAAGGATAAGCAAATAAGGTAGTGGAATTAAATGGAAATTACTAATCCTTTTCTCTCTCATTATACAGGTATTCCACTAAGACGCCCACATTCATCAGGAGGTGGAGAGAAGCCGGAAGAGTACGGAAAGTTGTGAGAGTGGAGTCATTGTCTATGTGGAAACAGGAGTGGAACACGATGGAGAACGGTAGATGGACACATCGACTAACACCAACCGGTGGAAACTAAGGATTTTATATTGGCTCACTACACAGTGTTTGTTTTGATTCGCTATAGTCCTCTCCAGGCCGATTCGTATTGGTGCGATTTACGTGTGTTAGTGAGATGAAATTTTTTGTTAGCTGTGAGAATTTTTTTGTTTGCTGTAAGAACTGTCATTCTAAAGTAAAAATAAACAACAAAACGAAAACAAACCCTACGCTTGCACGGTAACAGTCAAGTACCCTTTTTTGAGTAAAGGTTAACCCATTTTTGATAAAGGTGGCTTTACTCATTAATGAGTAAATTATTTTAACAACAATGAGTTTCTGCTAACAGTAGCTAACAGTTACTACGTAATTGGCATAATGAATTACTCATTAATTAGTGGTGCCGCTTTTATTGACAATGGGTTCACTTTTACTCATAAATGGATGTTTGATTCTTACCGTGCACATGACAGTATGCGCTAGTTTGTGTAAAGTTATGTTATTAGTGTAGTGTTCGTGAGATCCTGCTTGGAGAACTCAATGGAAGTTTGACAGATAAAATGAGGGGCTTGTGGATTTTCCTATGTTTGGAGGGGTGTATCGATTAGCTTGGGACCGAAAATAGTAGTGGAGCTGAGCCAAAAAGTTGAGCACGTCTCTTCGGGACCTACTAATCTTAGAGTTACCTCTATGCTAATACCGATTCTTTCGACCTGGGTGAACAGAAAACACGGAGAAGTCAAGTTCTACCTAACATAGTTTCTGTTTGGCCACGGCTGCTTCAGGAAATACCAGCATCGGTTCGGACACGCAGCGTCACCCCTCTGTCCGGAGTGTGGCAACGTCGATGAAACGCCGGAGCATGTGGTCTTCGACTGTCCAAGGTTCGAGATTCCCGTCCTTAACGTGGAGAATGTCGTTGTTGAAATGTGTCGAGAGGAGGGTACTTGGAATGCTTGTCAACAGAGCAGTCACGCAGATTATGTCGGAGCCATTAACTTGTTGTAGCACACATCTTACCGATAACGTACCGATATTGATAGTAAAATTTGATATTATTTTGCTCTGGTTTTGCTATTTCCTTCAACCAGGTTTATCGGGTTTCAACGACCTAATAGCCGAATCGCACTGAGACTACCCGAGAAGATGAAGTAATGGAGCAGCCGTATCGTCCTCAAGAAACGCGTAAGTTCTTAAAAAACACAACGTATGCTGTCAGTTTTGATTTCACAACTACTGACAGCATGGCGCCACTTTCCTCAAGGAGAAAAGTGAACCGGAAAATAATGTATGGACATTTTAACATGTTCAAAAAATATAAAGTTTTTCGAAACGAAAACAGAAACAATATTTCTCGATTAGTTTTTCTAAGGGACGTATCAGCTTTTGTAAACAATGCATTTGATCGTCAATTTTGCGTTACTGGTAGCTCGCCCACGCATACTAATGCTACCATTAGATGGGGGAAATGTTCTCTATCTGATTGTAGTGTTAGTATGCGTGGGCGAGCTACCTGTTACGCCAAATCTCGATGAACATTTCAAATGGTCCTATCTGCTTTAATCGATTCTCTTCATCGACTTTCTCTTTTCATAACCACTGCTATGCAAACAGATTTCGCGCTAATTCTACCACATAGTTTGATAACAGTGGTTCTTATCTATCGTCCAAAACGTCAAATGCAACAGGGAACGGTTTTGCAGCTGAGTTATTGACGAAAGAGAAAGTCGATAAAGAGAATCGATCAATGCAGATAGGACCTTTTTAAATGTTATCGACGATCAAATGCATTGTTTTACAAAAGCTGATACGTCCCTTCGGAAAAGTTATGGAGATTGGTTATTGTTGTGTGAAAAATAGACCCAATTTTTCAGAAAAGGCCCTTATTTCGTTAAAATCAACATGTTCCGGTTTTCTGCATAGAGCTACTTTTATTAGCGACATCTGTTTAAAAAAAATCTGCCAAAATCCATTCGGGAAGGATAGTGATATTTTAGCACGGAAAAAAACCATCAACCGCGCAACTGATCATAAGAATCCAGAAACAACATGATTTCTCAGTTTATTCAAATCTCGAAATAAAAACTACCCTCCTCAGTTTGTGGTGTCAATACCGAAGTTCTGCGCCGCGGTACTTCCGGTAATGTTTTTTTTTGCTCTTAAATGCTCCTGGTGAGTGGTTCATGCGCACATACGTCTTTAGTCATACAATTCAGTGGATGTGTGAGTGTGAGTTAAGTCGACTATTTTTGCTCTAAACGTGTCAGTTTGGATGCTGGCGTGTGCAGTTGATTATTCAAACTAATCGAAGGGTTCGGGTTAGGTATCGGGAACTCCTATTTTGCTAATCCATGCATCATTGTATTTTTGAGATAAGTAACTACTGAGCGCTTGAGGGGAAAAAATCGTTCATGATTCGTGTTTGATTCTATCGATAAAAAAGTTTACAAAACAGGCTTACTGTTGCTCTTTCGTCTCCCCAAAGATTAGTGTGTGTGTGTGTTATTTCCACTTCCTGTTGAGTTTGTTTGTTTACTTTTATTTATGTCATTTCTAAGGCCTTTTATAGTTTCTTTGTTTCCTTCGAGTTTTGCTTATGCTTCAACAGTTATGTTTCCTAAATGCCACTGGCTTACTAGTTGCTAAGTTGTCTACTAATGTCTACCAAAGTGGAAAAGAGTGTATCTCTTGGGGGGTGTGAGCTAGTGGGAAGGGGGGGGGGGGGTTCTGATTTTGTATTAAATTCATTTACCTATTAGTTAAGTAACTTCTGATCCGTCTGCTGTCGTAACAACGTGATATATTTACTTATCTCCTTCCGGATCGGTGTTGTTTGGGGAGCTGTCCATAAACCATGGAGACGGTTTTTTTTTTGCGAGACAAATTTAGACCTCTCGCTCCATGAACTGATGAACTGTCAGCGTTGTTTATGGACGGGCCCTTATTTCTATTAATTTTAATGTAAAGCGTTTACAGTATACCAAAGCGTTTCATTTGAGTTTGTGTGTGTAAGTGTGTGTGTGTGTGTTTGTTTGCATAGTCTCTACAACGATTCTAAATTGATATTGATACAAAATACTAAAAACTAGAAAGAAATTCGATTGATACTTTGAATGCTGTGAAGCTAAGTACAAAATCTTACACTATTTACAATGTTTTGTTTTTCTCTTATACCATGCTGGAGCGGAACATGTCTTTCGTATAAAATTGGAGAACTCCTTAGTCGAGAGTAATTAAACAGACGAATGCACTTTTCCATTTCTTCATCTAAGGTGCTTGGGAAGCAACAATTTAATAAAATAAATGAATAACAAACAGTCTGACTTTTCGTATTCGATCAACATCTGGTAGCAATAAAACTTCTGAAAAATAGTTTAACATCCTACGCTTTGCGTGATTCTATTTACTCTTAATCTTTTTTCTCCACCAGCAAAGCCACCTTCGGTTTTTTTTTGGTTGACGGAACAAAACTTTCAGTGTCATGAAAACGGCCTGCTGTATGGCTTTAACTGATTTTTTTTCTCAATGACGAATATTATTATCGTAATGCATTTATGAAACGAAATACTACTTTGGACCACTTGTTAGGTTTTGTGTCGTTTGCACTTGGTTTGATAAACTGGTAGAATTTGGAAAGGGCTTGGTTCTCAAAAGCTGATTGGTATATCTACAATTACGTTTGACGCTGATGGCTATCGGTCGGTTATGTACATTTACTTACATCGGGAAGGGAGGGGCTGCATGTGTGGAGACGGGCATTCGGGCATGTCCAGCACTCTGAAGGAGCTCAATTTAGTACCTTGGGATTATTTGTTCAACACAGGGATGCCAGATGGTTTTTGGAAAATGTTTTCACCGCCACTTTTTAACTTGGTGAGCCGGATGTGAGGCGCAGATGTGACAAAGAGTGGCGAATCCTCCCCCTCTTAGATTCCCTCCCCTAATATTCAGGATGTTGATCACATTTCATAACCCTAAAAGTACGAACATTTTTCGAGCCAGGGCCTTGAATAGGAGGAATCTAAGTTTGTATAATTTTTAAAGATCATGAAAAGAAGATTCAGGGACTGGATTTTGAAAATTTTTCACGATCATAGATTTCAAAACAAACAATATTGATTTTTTTTTAATCTTTAACTTGCAGAATTTAAATTTCTACAGAATTTTCAAACGCACATTAATGAAATATATCTCAAGGAATTCTGATGAATATTCACATGTAGGCATAAGAAGAGCTTCAAGAAAATAATAAGGATTGCTACCAAGGTAGCTCTAATAACCTCCTGATTCGTAGTGGAACATAAAGATATTTCTAAGAAAATTACAATTAGGCCATCAAATTAATTCTATGGTAGTTCTGAGGCGAATCCCAAAAGAATACTGAAGAAAATTCATGGGGCATGCCAAGGGAATTCGAAAAAGAAATTCTACGGGAGTTCGAAGCATCATTTTGCGGGTATTTTAGAAAATATACGCTTACGAAATGCGAGGAATTTTGGGTGAATTAATTGAATATTGTACCAAAAACCGCAAATCCACCAAATTGTCCGAAGTTACGTCTAATCGAGAGATATTGGGCTCTGATGAAGGGGAAGCTCTCTGAAAAAAAAACAAACACTTCCAACAAATTTGGACAAAACGGCCACCACGGTATCTGAGGAGTCTGTACAAACCCTAAAGGATGCAGCAAAGTTCGAAACTTTGAAGCAAATACCTACCGAATAACTATGTTTTTCTTTTGAGGATCGTGGTAGGCCGCGGTGGAAAGTTGACGTGTTTTGTTTTTGCATCTGTATTTTTTCCAATGAAGTTTTAAGATTTTATGCAAATTTCCAAACGCGAGTGATGATTTCAAAAGTGTTTTTAAGTGTTCGTGATTCAGACAAAAATCTTCTGAAATGTGTCCTTGTCGAGGGGAACCCGTTCCGAAAAATTAATGTTTAAAGCATGCTGCTTGTGTTTGTCGAGAGGAAAGCGTTATTTCTCTGAGGGAATCTTCCGGAACCGATTCGCGGGCAAAACGGGTACCTCTAGAGTGCTTGAAAAACGTGGGTGAAGTGCCTTAAGAAATTTTAGAGAAGAGTGAAAATAGCGCATACTCGCAAAGAATGAGAGAAGGAAGTTTGGTGACGGCTTTGGATAATATTGAGCAACTGGTGGAGAGACTTTTTCATTTGGATTTCTATACAATTTTTGAAACAATTTTAATAGACTGAAACCGAATATGGGGATTCAAGAAGCGATACGAAAAACAAGAGTATTCCACTACAGAATCGAGATGACAAAGATTCAGCAGCAAGGACACAATAAATAAGCGGTGAGATCTAACTGATTTCAACTAGATATACAAATATGAAATGGCGTGCCATCTACAAAGCAGGAATTGCTATGATGATGGAAGTGTACACGCAGTACCAATATACATTTTATATCGGTACTATGTGTATGCGGGGTTTGTTGTCAGTGAAAGTAACATCGGAATGGACGTGAGTGACCAGGCATTCTGAAATGGGTTACTGAATCTCAACAGAGCTATCACCTTTCAACTTCCGGGCTAAAATTGTTTGCAATGGGATCAGTATAAGATAATAATAGATTATATTGCAAACATTTTTCTTCCATAAAAACACTGCCGGACAGTGGAAGTTGGATTGTACACATACATACATACAAATACCAAAAAACTATGTTTTAACTTCGTTAATTTTTGAATCATATCCCTTGAATCTTAAATAAACGACTACAATTCAAATATAATGCGCAATTTGTGTTTTACTTAAGTTTTATTACAATAATAAACTGTGCTTCAAGGAGAATTTCGGCACAGCTCCTCAATCTGATTTATGCTTGCGATTTCAAACCAAAACATTCAAGATATCAGAAATACCGGGTTGCCAGGATGGGTATTTTACAAAAAATCGCAGCTTGCTCTATGACCGGCACAATCGGCACACCTGTGGCACACTGACAAAAAAGATAACCCAAGATTGGTGTGCGGAGTGACCTATCCCTTGCTGTGCTTATACTTTCTGGGACACCCTATATGTAAGAAAAACCCCACCCCCTCAACTTAAGAAATCGTAAGAAGTGTTGAGACTCCCTTACATAATTTACGGATGACCCCTAAGAAAAAGGATTCCACAAGGAAACACGTTAACACTATGCCTTTGAAATTTCAATAGAACGCAAAGGAGGGTTACTTCGAGGGGCACGCAATACAAAGAACCGGTGCGTTGAAGTTAAAATGCAATCAAAAGTACTTAAAGTAATTAATGTGTTTTGAAGTAGTACTGACGGTTATTAAAATTATCTATCCGTAATTAATGTAATTAAAAGTATTGAAAATGTAATTAATGTACATAAATTACGAAATTTCACCTGTAATTAATGGAGTTAAAAAGTAGTTGATGTTCTATATTGTGTAATTAATGTAATTAAAACAGTAGTTAATGGAATTAATTCAATTACAGTCGTTGCCTGCGTTGGAGTTAAAAGTTATTGCGTGCCCCTAGGGTTACTTTGGAATTCCGAGAAGTATTTCAAAGAATTTCCGAACCGGAATCTTAAATAATTCCTATGAATATTCATAAGAATTTTGAGCAGGTTTCGAAGGTGAAGTCCAAGAATTTGTATATAATTACCACGGGTCCTCCCTTAGTTTAGTCGGAAAAGGCGCCACTACAAAGCAAGACCATGCTGGAGGTGGCTGGGTTCGATTCCCGGTTCAGCCTAGGAATTTTTCGGGTCGGAAAATGTCTCGACGTCCCTAATCATAGAGTATGATTGTACTTGGCACTCAATAAACGAAATACAAAGTGGCACAGGCATCGAAAGCTCTCAATTAATAATATGCGATATGCAGTAAGTTTGAAATGCGAAAAAGTAGAAGAAGATTATTTCTAGAGTGTTATGAAAAAGGAAGGAAATTCTAAGATTATAAGGAAATTATTTTAAAACAACCTATGTAGGTTTTTAAGATAATTCCGATTAGTATAAACAAATTTGAAACGACAGTCATATGTAAGACAGCAAACTTCTATCTAGTAATGCTGTCAAGTTAAAGTCAAGTTAAGATCTAGATAGAGCTGGAATTAGGGTGTAACAGCTTTTGTAAACAACGACTTCTTTGAATGATTTCTAGAAAGTCTAGGCTAGCCAACGTGAATCAACATCACCATCAGGTAGGGGAAGACATCCCCTATCCGACGGTTATGTTGGCTTGCGTGGGCGTGCCTTGTATTTCTAGAAATCGTCGAGAGAAGTCATTGTTTACAAAAGCTGTTACGTCCTAATTTCAGCTCTATCTAGAGAAGTCATAGTGCTAAGTCATAGTGCTTAGTTAGTGAATTGCATTCATCTGAACTTCATTGTCAAAGACCGCATCTTTCTATCTAGTTGAGGTCACAAGTTAAAGCAAGCAATTAGAAGATAAATGGCAGACTACCTAAACAAAGTCGGCCAACAAAATGAAAGCATTATTAAATTTTGCAGTTCTTAGCATTATGAAAACTCATTTTGCTTTCAATTGTCGCAACATAAGTCTGATAACACATTGTTCTTTTAGAATGCAGTCAAGAGTTTTTTTTAATAAAAGCAACTTAACTTCAAGTTCTACTGTTGACGTTTTGTTGAAAATTTAATTTAAGTTCACCGGTCGTTGAACTAACAATTATTGTTGATTTGTTTTGTTTAACACATTTTAGGTAATTCAAGACATGTCCGGGTGAGATTTGAGCTCAAGCCTTTCAGCGTGAGAAGCATGGATTCTAACCATTTACGCCAGGCCCGTATTCAGTTAAATATTATGAATGCCAAATCAGTAATCCAATTGATTTAATTGAAAGCAGGATTAGTTTTCCGTTTGATTCAACAGTGTAAACATTCGCTCTCATTTTTGCTGTATCCGTTAAATCAACCAGAATGAGATTGACTGGAGTATTCAAAATAAATTACATCATAACAGCAAATTTTGATTTCAATTTGATCTCCAGCTTTGTTCAGGTAGCGCCTACTGATGATTTGACAGCTGTAGATAGGGTTACCATTTCAAAAACTTGAGTTTTTATCAAACGTTTTAATAATATGTGCGACAGCTGTAGTATAGTCCCACCATCGAATGGCATTTGCTAGATAAGATGCGGTTGTGACATAATTAAACAAATAATCTCTGCAAACAACGCTATTTGAAAACAATTTTATGAGTATTTTAATGAAAAAAAAAATGCAAGGATTAAAAAGGAGGACATTTTCGGGCAAAAGGAGGATGTAGAAAAATTATTGAAAAAGGAGGACATGTCCTCCTTTAGGATACCACATGGTAACCCCAGCTGTAGAATACCCCATGGTTCCTACGTGCCCCGTCAGCCATCGCTCAACCCCTTCCCTCCTCTCTTGTGCCTAGGTCCTAAGGTTTGTCATCCGTTGTGCTGCTACATACTTTATCACTGACACCGGAAAACTTCCGTGGATGTCCATGCTTGATCACACTCCCGGCTCGCGCACTCGCTTCTGTGGCAAATTGTGTGTTAATTGTTCCGACATGTTTTGGTTGGGTTTGCCTTGGTTGCAATATGTACATTCCTTCACGTCCTCTGCGATCAAGAACAATAGTGAGATTTGTTTGGTTTCTTCGTTCAGAGTGGGTTGATTGTTCCCTAGGGATGTGCCTTCAATTTAATGCTTTGTTATCACCTATTAATCACATTCATTGAATGTCACCATTTCAAACCGTCTTGCGTCGATTTTCGCTTCTGCTTGGTCTACTTTCGTGGGTGCTGTCACTTTTTCTTTTTTTTTCTTTCTCGCAATGCTTGGAGAGATGCCTTCTTGGATTTGAGGGTGATTCACAGTCCGCTTTCCGGGGCAGCGCGAGTGACCTGGTGCCTGCTTAGAATCTGCTGCTGCTACGGGTGTGAGGCTACTTCTATATCCACTTGTTGTTGCGCACCGCTGAGCGGAGCCTACGGCCCCACATTAAGTTATATCATACTATCGTCCCATGCAGATGGTGAGGCTGCTGCTGTTGTTGTTGCTGCTGCTGGCCGCCACTGCCCGAGGATTCGTTCTGCATGCTGGATAGATTGGAGGACGATCCACCCATGTTGCTTCCGTTGCCACCACCTCCTCCTCCTCCTCCACCGTGGCCACTGCCATTCAACGAGTCCTGCATGGAGCTGAGTCCGAGCGTCGAGCCACACATAGTTCCGGATGCACCCAGGGTCGAGGGATTCACGCCTCCGCCGCTGCCCGTTGGCACCGGGACGCCAATGACCGGTAGGGGTTCCTCCGGTGGTGTCACCTGGGGATCAAGCAAATGAAGTGTGGTTAGAATTATTTTTTAATGTGGACGTCACACACACGACAAAGAAAGCCTATGATGCTTGCCAGTCCTCAGTAACCTTTCGGAGTTCGTTTAATTTCGAATGGATCAATCTTGAAATGGTCAACTTTTAACTGGTCGAAAATCAATTGGTAAATTTAGAATTGGTTACTTTTGAAATGATTAACTTTAGGGCAGTTTTCGATTGGTCAAGATGGAATTGGGCAATGTAGATCGTGGATAGGGGCCTCTCTTAGTCGGTAAAGGCACAGCTACAAAGCAAGACCATGCTGGAGGTTGCTGGGTTCGATTCCCGGTTCGGTCTAGGAATTTTTTGGGTTGGAAAATTTCTCGACTTCCCTGGGCAATAGAGTATGATTGTACTTGCCACACAATTATACTAATGCAAAAATGGTACAGGCATCGAAAGCTCTCAATTAACAACTTTGGCAGTGCATCTAGAACATTAAGTTGAGAGCACGTAATAAGCTAATATGCGATACGCAATAAGCTTGAAATGCGAGGAAGAAGAAGAAGAATATTATGGAAAAAAATCTCTATTTTTAACATGAAGTTGCATCATGTTTCAGAACCCTTTTTTTTCAAAACATTAACACCACATAACATATGTGGAACTTCATGCAAAATAGATGACTAAAAGTTGACCCCTTTTTTGTGTTGCCTCAGTGCTATAACCAACAATCAATACGAAACTAACGATTTTAAATTGGCTCACTACTTGACTAGCCTATTGGTCCCAAGCAAACGATTAACGTATCCCATTCTAGTCAAAATTCTAGTACTACACAATGTTTGTTTTGATTCGCTATGAAAGTTTGACAGATAAAATGAGGGGTTAGTGGATTTTCCTATGTTTCGAGGGGTGAATCGATTAGCTTGGGACCGAATATAGTATCAGAGCTGAGCCAAAAAGTTGAGCACGTTTCTTCGGGACCTACTTGTCTTAGAGTTACCTCTATGGTATAACTGGCATAGTTGGACATCGATCTGTCAAAACAAAATTTTCGTGATATCGACACTCAGCGTTCATAAAATCCAATGTCGAAAACGTAAACCGTGGCTTCTTTCGTGAATTTCTCGTAGTTCAAAGTCAATCAATGTGAGCCACCAATTTTATCGGATAAGAGGAGTCTCGCTCTACACAATCATCTTGGTGGTTTACTTGAGTGAGTTTTCATTCTCGAGAAATTCTCCGAGAAAGTAATTGTTTACGTTTGCGACATTGGCCCTTGTGAAAGAAAAGCAGATATAAGGTTGCATGCTCAGTAAGCGGCGACTCTGCAACTCTTTACCCCTATGGTAAAATCTCATAAGCATCTGACAATCTGTGCATGAAATCTAGTGGACTTTGTCTTATTTCTTCATTCCACCATGGTACGAGCAAACCGCCGTCTTTTCACGGAAAGATTGACAGTATCTTAAGGGATTTTCATAGGAGTGAAAGGGTAAAGAAATGTTCACCATGTTTCATGGCCAGACTGATGTTTGCTTATGGGATTTTACGGATTTTACCATAGGAGTAAGGAGTTACAGAGTGAACTAAAAGGCGAATTGTCAATTGTCAAGATAATGCGCAATGAGTGTTAAGAGGTGAGGCCCAGAGAATTTATCGTCTCTTTTTTCATCCGCTGTTTAAATGGTTGATAGAGTTTGCTGTTTACAGCTTATTTGATAATGCGGCCATTCTTTTTTCGACTAGCGACAGGGGTTTCAAAGGATATTTTCACTAGTATTTTCTAGTCGATCAGAAGTCAATCAAGCGCGTTGTTAAACAGTAATTTACGTTTTTAACAAATGCAATATTTCTACGTCTCTTCAACCTGGTTGAATTGTATTGGATTGATTCTGGATATTATGCTAATTGAATGCAATGTAATGCTAACAATTCGAAGATTTTGCTGCTACTCTCTGGACTTAAAAATGTATGCATTTAACTCCAAATTTGCACAGTTGTATTTTTTCTCAAACGAAACCTTATGAAATCAAAAATTGATGCAATTGGTTACAAAAAAATGTCCAAAGAAAAGATGGTACGTACATTTTTATTCAAAATTTGCCTTAGGCGCAAATTTAGATTTAGAAGAAATGAACACGTGGAGGTTCCAGACTTTTTTGCACAAACGAAGTGACAGACGGAGCGGCTCGAAAACTTTGGTGACTAACCTGCTATTGCAATTTTTCAGTGTACCACATGGCAACACCACTACTACTGGATTGTACCACATGGCAACACTACTACTAGATTGAACTAGCATTTTCACCAAATGTACTAGAATGTTTTGGTTCTATCTCTTTCACTCTACTCAAAACTGAAATGCATAAAAAAATGACAAAATGATACGCACTCTTTGCACACTGTCAAAGAATCATTGTACACAAAATCAACTTTGTTCAAAGCAAAACAAAAAAACTAACCCATCTGGTGGATGATGGCACAAGCTTCCAAGAAAATTCTATTACAGTGAACCACATTATTTAAATGGATTTCTTCGCCAGTTAGTCGTCTGTCACTTCGTTTGTGCTTTTTTGGCCATTTCAGAAAAACAATACGTTTTGATATCAAAATAGGGCTGTAAATAATGTCTACTTTTTTAATGCAAACGTTAATATTTTCCTGTGTGAAGCAAGATGATGAATTTGTTAAAGCTAGCTGTATTATTATAAATAAAGAAAGTATATTGTAATGGAAATATGAAGAGATGAGTTCAGAAGTACTAAGAGGACACATCATTATAAACCACGATAGAATTATTTTAATAAAATTGACTACCCCTTTACTTATTTTACAGCTGGTATAATCAATTTGACAGATAGATGTTCTTCTATACCATTCGAAATCACTGAAATGGGGTCGATTTTTTATGATCGAGTTCCACATATGTTATGTGATAACACTCTAATGGTGGTAAGCTACAATCGGTATTATCCTCGGTTTATTGATGAATCTACGTTACGGTCGGCCAGCAGATGGAAATGATGTGAAACTGATAATGACGTTTTGCTAGCTGTCAAATCGTATGGAATATTTTTTAGTACATCATCACTTTTGTGGTTTTGGATTTCAAACCTAGGTGTCGCATGCACTGGTGCAGTTTCGCGTAGATTCATCCATCAGAGTTTGCTTTTTTTTCTCTCGTTTCTATGTGTCAGTGAAATGATTATCATTGATGCTGTAGGGGTGTGAGTGTACATCATGCACTGTCACAACTACCGTAAACATAGCTGCTAGAGTTCGTTATTAATAGGTCGAATGTCTATTTATCATCCACAATTGACACCATTACTACATTTCTATTCAATTTGCCAAAATTAACGATCTACCACCTCCCAAGGACATCCCTTTCTATACAGAAAAATATCATACGCCTAGCCACCAAGGCCAACCAAGTCAAGTAATGATAGTAGTTGATTAATTCAAAGCCACACTTTGTTCACTTTGGTTACACACGACCGGTCCAAAAATGATTCCAGCACTCAAACCTCCAGATACATGGTAAGAAAAAAGTACCCAAAAGTAAGTTATTTTCACACATCTCGACTCTTTATTGCAGGAAGCCAAAAGAAGGTAAAGTGAGTCAAAGTAGTTTTCATTCACTTGTGTTTAAATCTTATGGAATTGAAAATTCGCTTTCTACCCAAAATTAAGTCAGTTACACCCAAAAGTAGGTGAATATGATCGTGATTATACTCAAAGTCGAAAGTAGGTAAATGTGAACTGGCCGCTAGATACGTTTTTTGTTATCGTGTATGTTTATGTTTTTACATCATTCTTTTCCCGCCTTTTTAATATCAGCTGATGGCTTCGACCAGTGCAACCAAAATGACAAATATGTTTTCTATAGAAGATTTGTATGTTTATTTACTTTTCAGGAAAATCAAAATAAGAAACTGTTTTTAATTTGTATTAGTGATGGTTTCTAAATTGAACACAGTTGAAGAACCTTCAAAAGCAATAAAAACATTGTTTTTAAACACTTTGTTTCAATTAAATTGACAACACTGGATACGATGATAGATGGATTCGTACACACACCTTCGTAATGTGGTGTGTAGAAAAAAGGTAAACAAAACAGTTTCAGCTTACGAAATTATTCGCGGCTCGCGTTTTTAGCGATGCAAATGATATTGTTTAAGCAAATATCATCTTTAAAAGTGAATTAACTTGAAAGTGCTTGTAGAAGCACGTGTCGTAATTGTTTTTAGTGTGGTTCTGGGAAGTGAAAGCTAGTGAAAACAGTTATTTTAATTACATGCCCAGAGTAGAACAAAATCGACTGATCGTACTTTTTAATGTAAATATTACGAATGTGTGAATAAATTGGCAATATTTTGGTGAGAAAGTGTACAACTATGTATCCAGATCTTATTCATACAATTTTGGCCAATTTTTTAAGGTATGTAATTAGTAATTTACTATTTTGTAGGAAGATTTCTTTCGTACGCATACCAAAACACGTTTATTTAATGATTGTGGGGACAGCCATTGTTGCATGACGTGCCGTATCACCTTAAACCGCTAGCTGCACTACAGGGTGAGGAAAAATTATCCGTATTTTTTTCTCAGTGTATAGCTCGAATTTGACAGATGATGAAATGAGCACACCTCTGCCAATTAATCATGTTTTGTTATTTTTGACATCATCCACATCCAGAGGGTCATTCACTTTCGAATGTATGGGAATGGTAGGAAACCATTTGGAAATGCATGACAATTTTCAGTTTTTATTCATTATCATCTTTATGGGCAGTTTTAGATGCACAAAAATTGCACGAGTACATTACTATGGTGATAAGGTTTATTTGTTTCCTTCTGTGAAAGCATGTTTAGTCACAAATCGTGGATTTTCTGATATTCTCCATACTGCAAAAATGATTTTCCTACCACTGGGGTGACATCTTTCGGATCTTCAGTATAGCTACAACTCAAATCATATAATTAATTGAGACCATGATACATA